ATGGGGTGTGCCCCACCTCCCCCAGGCAGATTCCTACTACTGCCAATCCCACCTCCCTGCCCCCCATCTCCCAGTTTCCACTACTCTCAATTCATTCTTTTTTTTTTTTTTGAGTTCGAGTTGCACTGGGTCACCCAGACTGGAGTGCAGTGGCCGCTCCCAGCCACCGTAGCCTTGACCTGCTGGGCTCCGGCGATCCTTCCGCCACAGCCTTCCAAGTAGCTGGAATTACAGGCATGCACTACCACGCCCGGCTGATTTTTTGATTTATTGTAGAGATAAGGTCTCGCTGCCCAGGCGGGTCTCGAACCCGCGGGCTCGGGAAATCCACTCACCTCAGCCTCCCAAAGGCGCGGGATTACAGGCTGAGTCACCGAGCCCGGTTTCATGGGCAGTATTCTTGCCAAAAATACACAGACTGAATCTAATCATGAGAAAACACCAGACAAATTCAAATGGAGATATTCTGCAAAATAACTGACTTGCATTCTTCAAAAATATAATGGAAAATGTCATGAAACAGGCTGGAGAACTGTTCTAGATTAACAGATACCAAAGAGATATAACAATTAAATGCTAATGTGTAATTTTTGGTTAGATCCTGGATTGGTGGGAAAAAAGTTGTGAAAAAATTATTGGGTTAATTGGGTAATTTTGAATATGGACTCTATATCAGATATCGGGTATTTTATCAATATTACATTTCCTATGTGTGATTATATTGTAGATATATATGAGAATATACTTGTTCTTAGACAACAGAAACTGAAGTACTTTAGGTTGAAGAGTCATGATATCTATGGCAAACTCTTTTAGCAAAAAAGTGAGTGTGTATAAATATATTTATATTGTATACAGGATATATGTGTGTGTGTGTGTGTGTGTGTGTGTGTGCATATGCATACGTGAGGGAGGAGGTAGGGAGAAAGAGAGGAAGAGAGAGAGGAAAGAGAGGAAGGGAGGCAATGGGAAGAGAGACTGCATAGTGGGACAAAGTATTAATAACAGGTGAATCTTATGAAGGGTATATGGGTGTGCAGCAGTATTCTTGCAAATTTCTACAAGCTTGAAATTTTTCACAATGAAAACCTAGGGAAAAAAAGAAAAGCAGCCAGAATAAAATAATTCAGTAGCGCCCCCCTCTTTAAGAAAAAAAAAAGTTTTCTGATCCTCTGAGATCTAGGCAAAGAACAGCATGGGAAAAACTTCCAACCTTCCTTTAAAACATTAAATTCCTTGATTTAACCTATCAAACAAAACTCTTGTGAGTAGGATAGGATTATGATGCTGAAGATACAGTTAGTCCCCCCTTATTTATGGGAGATACATTCAAGACCCTCAATGAATGCCTGAAACTTCAGATAACACTGAACCCTATATATACTATATTTTTCTTATACATGCATACCTATGACAAAGTTTAATTTATAAATTAGGCACAGTAAGAGATTAGCAAGAATAACTAATAATAAAATAGAACAACTGTAACAATATATTATAATAAAAGCTATATGCATTTGGTCTATCTCTCTTTTTCTCTCTTTCAGAATATGAAGGGAAACCTCCCCCCAAAAAACCCAAAATTATCTTTTGGAGGACAGGCCATAACTATACCTAGCTCTTAAATTTCATTTCATTTCACTAAAAAAATGTGTAGAGGTCACTTACCTTGCCCCACCAAAATAGCCGTCCTGCATTTTTTGAAGTGCCGCCAGGATACTTGAATTCAAGCTGGTTCCATCTTCATCTTGAAATAAAGAGAATTCTAAAACAATCTTTGTGGTTTTAACTTTGAAGTAAGGGGAAATGTTTCTATTATTTCAAGTCAACATCCTAGTGGTGATGGTACAAATGAGATACTCCTAATTTACCACCCTGTATTTCAACAATTCATCTGAGAACCAGCAACATTGCAGATGGGCAAATGGTAAAGAATGACGACTGATAGAGTTCCTCAAAGGCATTATTTTACTTCTTTTTAATTCTTTTTTATTTTAAAGATGTGGGGTGCAATTCAGGGATAGGTATACAAATGTTCATTATGCAGGTACCCTTGTTGATGAGGTGTGTCCCTCCATTCCCTGGCAGTTTCCCTCAACTGCCAATCCTACCACTCTCTCCTGGCAGTTTCCTGCTACTGCTAATTCCTTTCTTATAGTATTATGATAATTCATCTTACTTCTTATAAGTACTTAGCACAGTGCCTGATGGCAGAACACTTAATGACTACTGAATGATGACAATAATGACAGCAGCAACTATATGTTGAATGTTACATATTACACTGTGCTAAACATTTTATATACATGATTTCATATAATGACCCTTGGCTTATATTTGTGTGTATAGGCATAAAAAATATCCAGAGGGCTAACAATTATTTGATTGTATGTGGAAGGGAGCATACTATACACATTCTCTTTTTATTTTAAAGATGTGGGGTACAATTCAGGGTTAGGTATACAAACGTTGATTATTGCAGGTACCCTTGATGAGGTGTGCCCCTCCCTCACCTAGCAGTTTCCCTCAACTGCCAATTCCAACCCCTCCCATGACAGTTTCCCACTACTGCCAATCCCTTTCTTATAGTATTGTGATAATTGTTCAAGGTCTGCTTATGAGTGAGAACCTATGGTACTCTGTCGTTTCTGTGATAGATCACTGAGTATGATCAACTCTAAATCTATCCAAGTTGCTGCAAAGTCCATATGTTTGTCCTTCTTTATGGTTTCATAATATTCCAGTGTGGTTTTAATTTGCATTTCTTTGATGATTAGTTAGGCTGAGCATTTTTTTACATCTCTGTTGGCTGCTTGTATGTCTTCGTTTGACAAATGTCTGTTCATATCCTTTGCCCACTTTGTAATAGGGCTGTTTGCTTTTTTCTTTTTGGTATGTTTGAGTTCCTTATAGATACTGGATGTTAGGCCTTTGTCATATATACAGTTGGCAAATATTTTTCCCATTCTGTAGGCTGTTTCCCCACTCTCTTGATGGTTTCTTTTGCTTTGCAGAAGATTTTCAGTTTGGTGAGGTCCCACTTATCTATCTTATCTCTTATGGCATGGGCATCTGGGATTTTGATCAGGAATTGGTTGCCAATTCCAATTTCCATAAGTGTATCTCTTACATTTCCTAAGGTTCTTATCGTTTGAGGTTTTACATGTAGGTCTTTGATCCATTTAGAGCTGACTTTTGTGTATGGTGATAGGTAGGGGTCTTGTTTTAATTTTCTGCATGCAGTCAGCCAGTTTTCCTAGCACCATTTACTCAATAGGTTCTCCTTTCCCCAGTGGTAGTTGGTGGAGATTTTGTCAAAGATGAGTTGGCTGAGAAATTGAGGTTTTGCTTCTGGAATCTCCATCCTGTCCCATTGGTTTATATGCCTGTTCTTGTACCAATACAAGGCTGTTTTGATTATTGTAGCCTTATAATAAGTTTGAAGTCTGGAAGTGTGATACCTCCTGCTTTGTTTCTTTTGCTGAGGATTGTTTTGGCTATTTGTGGTCATTTATGTTTCCACATGAATTTCTGTATTGTACTTTCCAGGTCTGAGAAGAATGCTGCTGGTAATTTAATGGGTATTACGTTAAATCTACCTTGGGTAGGATGGACATCTTAACAGTGTTGATTCTTCCAATCCATGAGCATGGAATATTATTCCATTTGTTTGTGTCATCTTTGATTTCTTTGAGCATTGTTTTGTAGTGTTCGTTGTAAAGATCTTTCTCTTCTCTGGTTAGGAAGATGCCAAGGTATTTCATATTTTGTTGTTGTTGATATTGTGAATGGGATTATGCTTTTTATTTGGGTTTCTGTTTGCTTCTTGTTGGTGTGTAGGAATGCAACTGTCTTTTGCACATTTATTTTATACCCTGAGATTTTGCCAAAGTTCTTTATCAGTGTAAGGTTTTTGACAGATTCTCCTGGGTTTTCAAGGTATAGGATCATGTTATCTATAAAGAGGGATAACTTAACTTTCTCTTTTCCTATTTGGATACCCCTGACTTCCTTCTCTTGTCTGATTGCTCTAGCTAGGACTTCCAATACTATGTTAAACAGGAGGGGTGAGAGTGGGTGGCCTTGTCTTGTTCCAGTTTTCAGGGGAAATGGTTCCATTTTCTGTCTTTTTAGCAGTATGTTGGCTGTGGGTTTCTCGTGATGGCTCTTGCTATTTTGAGGTATGCTCCATTTATGCCTAGGTGTTTGAGGGTTTTTTTTCAAGAAGGGATGCTAGATTTTCTCATATAGTTTTATGAACATTTATTAAGTTTATATTATTTACTTTTCTAGAAAATTTGTTAACTTTATCTAAATTTACAAAATTATTTGATAATTTTTACTCTCCTTTATTTCTGTTGCTATTATCTACTTTCTCATTCTGAATGTTTTTTCTTTACTCTGAAGTCTACTTTACCAGATATTAATGTAGCTACCTCTGATTTTTAAAATTATTGTTCACATAAAATATCTTTTTAGTACTTTTCGTTTCAGTCTCCCTATATTGTTACATTTAAAGTTAATTTCTTGAAGATGGCATATAGGTGGGTTATTTTTTATCCACTCTGCTAATGTCTTTTAATTGGCATATTGAGGCTATTTAAAGTTAATATAGTTATTGATATGTTAGGGTTAAGTTTGTCATTTTACTTATTGTTTACTGTTTGTTACTTCTGTTCTTCACTTCTATGTTTTCTTCTTCTTGCCTTCGTGTAGGTTACTTTTACATTTTTTATAATTCCATTTTGATTTACTATAGTGGTTTTTACTGTAACTCCTTCTACAAATTTATTTGTGGTTACTCTATTACATTGTACATACAAACATGATACATACATCACTCTTTACTAGTATGAACATTCTACCATTTAAAATGATGTGTAGAACCTTATCTCCCTTTAATACCTTGCTCTCCTCCATTTATAATATGCTTGCCTTGAATATTTCCTCTATATACTTTGAGAACTAAATCAAACAATGTCATGATTTTTGCTTTAATTGTTAAATGTAATTTAGAAAATTCAAGTGATGTTGTATTTACTCACACTTTTACTTTCTATTGTTTTCTCTTTCTTGATGTTTCCAGATTCTATCATTATTTCCTTGATGTCTCAAGAACTTCCTCTAAACTGTTCTTTTAGCACAGATCTCCTGCAGATAAATTCACTTAGTATTCTTCATCTGAGAATGCTTTTCCCCCCTTTTATCCTTGAAGTGTATTTTCAGTGGATACAGCAAAATTCTTGGTTTATAATTCTTTTCTCTCAGTACTTGAAAAATGTTCTGTCACCCATGGTTTCTGAGAAATTTGCAGTCATTCTAGATGTTTATCCTTTATAGACAAGAGATCATCTACTTGATTATTATGTGTTTTGGCATGGATTTATCTGATGATATTTGGGGTTTTCTCAGCTTTAAAAATCTGTAGATTTCTGTCTTTTGCCATTTTTTCAGCCATTATTAGTTGAAATGTTTTTTTCTCTTTTTTACCCACACTGTTTTCCGTCTCTTTCTGAAAGTTTTATAACATGAATGTTAGATCCTTTTTTGAGGGGGGGAGAGAAGAGAAAGAGATCTTACTGTATCACCTAGGCTGCAGTACTGTAGCATAATATAGCTCACTGCAGCTTTGAACACCTGAATGTTAGATCTTTTATTAGTTCCACAGATCCCTGAGGCTTTGTTCATATTTTTAAAGTCTATTTTTACTGTGTTATTCAGAATGAGTCATTTCTATAGTTCTGTCTTCTAGTTCATTCTATTGTCTCCATTCTGTCATTGAACCTATGTATTTAGATTTTGGTTTCAGTTAGTATTTTCAGTCCTAAAACGTTCATTTTGTTCTTTTTATCTTCAACTTTTTTTTTCTGAGACATCCTACTTTGTCATTTGTTTCAAATATGGTTGTAATTGTGTGTTAAAGTATTTTTATGATAACTGCCTTAAAATCTTTGTATGAGAACTCCAACATATGGGTCATCTTGGTGTTGATATCTATTGATCATCTTTTCTCATTGATGAGATTTTCCTGGATCTTGGTATGAGTAATTTTCTCTTGTAGTCAGGAAATTTAGGGTATCATATTATAATACTCTTGATCTTATTAAAAATTCTGATTTAGTGGGTTTCCTCTGACACTGTGTTGTCAGGGAAGAGAGCACTGTCTTGTCAATGCTGGGTAAGTGTGTAAGTCCAAAGCTCTCCAATGGGCCTCTACTGATACCACACTAGCTGAAGGGGGTGGGGCTCCTCTACTGTTGATCAAAACAAAGAAAGCTTTTGCTCCCCCTTGGGACTTCTCTGACACTACCCCTAAGAGGGGAAAGAGTGCCTCTACATAGATGGGTGAGGGTAGAACTCTTGTATTCCCACTCAGCCTCTGCTGACAGCAGTGGAAACATGGGCCTGAGGTTCTTTTCTGTGACATTTGGCTAGAGTCAAACAGTTAGTGTCTAAACATTTTATGTCTGCTTAGGTTGTTCTTTTCTTGTTCCTTTGGCTAGAGAGGGCAGATTTTTCTTGGGCCTTTTTGGACCTGTCTTTCTGGGGTTCTTTTTATTTTTTCTGCTGGTGCTTCTGGGATAGCAGCTTCTCCACCCTCCAGTACAGGATATATAGGGCAGAAGGAAAATCCAATATATTCACTGCTGTGCCATTCCTCAGGTCCCGAAGTCCCCAGCTCATCTGTCTTCTTTCCATCTTTCTTTTTTTTTTTCTTTTTTTTTCTTATAAAGATGTGGGGTACAATTCAGGGTTAGGTATACAAACGTTGATTATGCAGGTACCCTTGTTGATGAGGTATGCCCCTCCCTCCCCTAGCAGTTTCCCTCAACTGCCAATCTCACCCCCGCAACAGTTTTCCACTACTGCCAATCCCTTTCTTATAGTATTGTTCAAGGTCTGCTTATGAGTCTTTGAATCTTTCAGAGTCTTCTTACTGTTTGCTTCATATATAGTGTCCAAGATTTTTAGTTGTACTTAGCTGGAGGAGTAGGGAGAAGTGAGTCTACTCCATCTTGTCTTAAAAGTATGATTCTTTTTTTGCAAAAGAAAAAGTACTTAAGAATGTGAATTTTTCTAAATATGATTTTGACTGAATCTCATAAATTCTGATAAGTAGTGGTATTTTTCATTTTTAAAAAGTCTGTAACTCCAAATTTGACTTTCTCTTTAATCTAAGAATTATTTGGAAAATATTTTAATTTCTTCATGGTCAGAATTTTTTTTTTAACAATTCTATATCAATTAGTTTTATGTCACATATCTGGCAATATCATCTGCATGATTTCTACTTTTAAAAATTTAACATTCTTTATTCTTTCTGCATATAGATTTTTATATATACCCATAAAACAAGAAACCAGGTTTATCACTCCTCTATGTCTTTGATTATTTTGTAATGTCTGTGACATTCTAATTATAGTTTTCCATTATGAATGTGTAATAGTTTTATCTTATTGTTCCTAAGTTTTTCCAAATATTTGCTTTATACATTTCATTGATATTATTCAGTAGATAAATGTGTACAAATGTTATATCATTTTGGTGTACTACAATTTTTATCAATATAAAATATCCTTATCTTATTTACTGATTTGTGCCTTGAATTTTATTTGCTATTTTTGATATTAATATTGACATCACTGTTCTCTAATTAACATTTATATGATACATTTTTGCACATTCCTTTTCCCCCATCTTTCCATATAATTTTATTTTAGGGATATCTTTTGTAAATAGTGTCCAGCTAGATTTTGCTCTTATCTGTATTCTTGGAATCTTTGTCTTTAATATGAGAATTTAACTAAGTCGCATTTTAATGTGATCACTGATATGTTTGTTCTTATTTCATCAGCACAAAATTTTCACTGACAAAAACACACTGCTGCCAGGCTTGGCGGCTCAGCCTGTAATCCTGCACCTTTGGGAGGCTAAGGTGAGTGGATTGCCTGAGCCCGCAGGTTCGAGACCCGCCCGGGCAACTTGGTGAGACCTCATCTCTACAATAAATAAAAAATTCAGCCAGGCGTGGTAGTGCATGCCTGTAATTCCGGTTACTTGGAAGGCTGAGGCGGAAGGATCACTGGAGCCCAGCAGGTCGAGGCTGCAGTGGCCGGGAGCGGCCACTGCACTCCAGTCTGGGTGACAGAGTGAGACTCCAACTCAAAAAAACAAAAACAAAAAACAAAAAAACCCCACATTGCTATTGGTAATGCAGGCTTCAGAGATTGAGAATCCTGGTTTGAGGCCTGGCTCTGTTACTTATTAGCTTTGTGACTTTGGACAATGAGTAACCTTTCTCATCTATAAAATGGGGTATTAATAGTAACTACCTCAGTCAGATTGTTGTAGAGATTTCAAAAGAATTTAATGAAAACACTTAGCTCAGTGTTTGACACAGAGAAAGTATTCAATCAATATTAGTATTATTGTGATTGTTACTGCTGGTTTGGTTGTGTGAACACACATCAAAATTGTCTGAATTAAATCTAGACCTTTAGTTTTATTCTATTTACCAAGCTGTGGCTGTGTATCTTATTCCAACATTGGGTATTTCAATTTTGAAATATCGTTGCCACTATAAATGCAACATGTCTCCTTACAACTGGAATCTTCCTATAAAAATGTCTCAGCTTCTATCAATGAAAGCATTATTTACCTAGTGATATGGTCTTAGTGTACCCCCAGATTCAATATGTTGAAAATTAATTGCCAATGTGATAGTATTAAATGGTGGGGCCTTTAGGAAGTGATTAAATCATGAGGGTGAGAGACCACGCATGGGATTAGAGCTCTTATCAAAGGGCTTGATGGAGTGGGTTTGTCTTTTTTCTGTCTCTTCCACAATGTGAGTACACATATTTGTTTACTCCAGAGCATGCAGCAACAAGGCACTACCTTAGAAGCAGAGATACTGGGTTCTCTACAGATACCGAACCTGTTGGCACCTTGATCTTAGACTTCCGAGCCTCTAAAACTGTAAGAAATGAATTTCTATTGTTTATAAATCACTCAGTTCATGGTGTTTTGTTATAGCAGCACAGATGGACTAAGACACCTAGTCTCTACATCTTGGAGTTATCTTGATTTGTCTCTCATATCTAGTTAGTCAGTATATGACTTACAGGTGTTGTTTAAAATGACTTTTGTAGCCTTCTTTCCCAGTTTTTACTACTACCAATCTAGTGTATCTTCTTTTCATATCATATGTGGACTCGTTTCCCTGACATCAGTATCCTCTCTCTACAATGTGTACTATCACCAACCAATATTCCCTAAATATCATTTTCATCACATGACTTTTTCCTCAAAAACTTTTGACAGTTTCAGACTTCCAAGAAAAACTATTTAATCTATTTTAAAATATCTTTACTTATTTTCAAGGTCTTCATAATCTGGCCCTACCTTATCCAATTTTGTCTATAATTATACTCCAACATTCAAAGCCCACTCTATTCAGGTTGGTTTCTGCACTGTCTTCTCATAAGTTAAGCTTATTCTTGTCTCCATGCCTCATCAATGGTATTTTCCCCCTCACTTAAAGTTCCTTTCCTTTTTCCCTTCTCTCATCTGAATACTACTAATTCTAAAAAGCTTGGATAAGTTCCACCTCAGTTGAGAAATTTTCTTTGACAACTTGATCTCCTTACTGTGAAATACAAATTTAATGGATTAGTATTTCTTACATACTGTATTAATTTTTTTCTATTATTCTTATGTATTATTTTTACCTCTCCAACTGAACTTTATGCTTTCTGAAGACAATCTGGAAACTTAGTAGTTATTAAATGGGTCCCTGTTAATTGTCTTAAGTAAAGAAGAATGACAAAAAGAAGAAAGACTACCCTACTTCCTCAACTCCTGTGCCTTGAAGCACTTTCGAGATGCAACAAAAAACCCTAACAGTTTGGCTGTACTTTAAGTGATTTATGCTAAAGGATTCTTCTTTAATGAAAAGGAATTCTATGTACTTTGGAGTAAAAACAAGCCTTTGGAAGCAACAGCAGAGACACAGAAAGGAAGCAGTTGCTTCCGTATTGGCTCTAGTCCTCCAGGAACTGAAATAACAATAAAGCCTCTCATCCAGTTTCAAATAAGGAATGTCAGAAGCCCAGCCAAAATAAGGAAAGATAAACCAAAAACCTTTTTACTTTTTCCCTGCTAGATGTACTGCTTCAGTTAGACAGGCTTTGGAGGGAGAACTCTGGGAAATTATCTATAAAATTTTGATGCAGCACTAGAGTAAGATAGATGAAGATATAGTATTACTGTGTTTAAAAATAAGGTTTATGAAAATTGACCTAGAAAATAATTATCTAAAATAGCTTCCAACCAAGTTATAAGTTATTCTCTGCTACATTTTTTGAATTATAGCTTTGTTTTTTTATTTTTATTTTAAAGATGTGAGGTACAGTTCAGGGTTAGGTACATAAGTATAGTTGTCAAACCATCTGAAACATTCTTGTGTACTGATTTATTTGTTACTTATTTATAGCCTGTCTTTACCTTCTAAAGCATAATTTCCATGAGAGCAGAAACTTCATCTGTCTTATTTACTTCATGTGTTCCCAGTGCCTAGAACAGTGCCTGGCATAGAATAAGAGGTAATATATCCTATGGAAAGAGTAAATCATAAGAAGTATCTTTCCATAAGATGCTGAAGGGCTAAACCTATGACATATTTCAAAAATACATTCATTCCTTGCTTCATACAGTCCTTACCAAGCATGCTATGTGAGACGGGGAAGGTGATAGTGGGCTGTCCTGTCATCCTCCAGCGGCTACACAGGTAAGAGAGGTCTGTTCTAAGCATTTCCACTATCATCTTGTTGTCCAGAGCCAGGTAGAACTGTTGCTGGTCTATAAACTGAGAAAAAGAAAAGTTACAGTTCAGAATAATTTACTCTCATAATAATCAAGTAGTATTTAAAAACCCTTACATATTCACAAGGGTATTCAAGAATTCACAGAGGCAACAATACCCCCAAATGTAATGCCTAATAATTCCCAAAGTATCTGGTAGTCAGTTGGAACATATAATAATTTATGACATTTTACAGTATGCTACAGTTGACAAAATATTTTCAGGTACATCATTTTATTTAACTTCATAATCACCCAAGAAAGCTTTTCTTCTTTTAATAGACGAAAAATAAGGCTAAGAGATGATATATGAATTATGAAAGTCATATGGCTAGCAAATGGCAAAGTTAGAAATAGCATCTATGATCCATTACTCTTTCATCTGTATCTAGCTCAGCTATACTATTGCATATGTAAATGGGGATTTTAAGCTTTCTTTCCAGAAAATAGTTTTTCCATACCATACACACATAATCAGACTTATTATTATAATTTAGATAATAATATATCAGGCTAACAATGTGTATAACCACAGCTAAAACAGCACTGAAATTTTTGTTTAGAAAAGGATATTGAAGATTTCCATGCATGTAAAAAAAGGGACCATCCTTCAAATAAAACCCTCCACAGAATTCAGTAGTTGAATAAAAAAGACTGTATTTTGTTTACAAAAAACAAATACAGTTTTATATTAACTTTTAAAAGTAGGGGGTACTTTTGTAAAAATCCCTAGTTGCTGTTTCTGCAACACCCAAGACTACTCTTGGCAGTCATAATCACTTGGTGTAAACCTGTGTGGCAAGTTCAACTCAGTTCAACTCAACAAATATTTACTGAGCAACTTAATATATGCAAGGCCTCGTGGAACTCTTTGACACTTTTCCCAACTTCAGTAAGTGCTTTATTTCAGCAATCTAATGCACATTCCAGCTTATTTCACCCACCTGTGGAGTGAAAGTAAAGATAGTTTTCCGAATGTCGTAGAGTTTTGAAGTTCCAAGCACTCCCATGTGTCTGTAGGGTCGTCCACTGAGTTTCATTCTACTGTTACACCCTAACATAGAATTGAGAAATGGTCAATATATTTTTAATGCAAAAATAAAATTCAGCAAACATTTTTTACATATAGATACATACACAATATATTTATATATGTATAGATACATGCACACACATCCACCTTATTTCCTTGAGTTTAGGTTGTCTTCTTTTGATAGTTTAGCATTCTGAAATTGGTATCCATCTTATAATCGATGTCTATGTTAAATATAGTTGAATTTCTTTGTTTCTTCTAAAAGGCAGTTACTAAATCAATACCTCTTAAAGTGAGGAAATGTTAGGTTGGTACAAATGTAACTGAGGTTTTTGCAAGTTGAAATTTGCTGTGTAATATTGGAATATATTCTTTTTTTTTTTTTTTTTTGAGATGGAGTCTCACTCTGTCACCCAGACTGGGGGTGCAGTGGCCGCTCCCGGCCACCGCAACCTCGACCTGCTGGGCTCCGGCGATCCTTCTGCCTCAGCCTTCCAAGTAGC